ACAAAGGGATTTGGAGCCAGTTTTGTTCTATTAGAACGCCAAACTATCTTTAAGCTATATGTAAATTAACTTAATCACAGATTGTTAATGTAAATCTTTGAAAGGTGGACTACTAACTCAATAATGCTTAGTTCTCAGAGAACATATCAGATATTAAACTCATAAGAACAGATAGAAATGTTTGTTTAAGCAAATGTTTGAAATAAATTGATAGCAAAGACAAATTAAGGTATAGCGAATCCAGGGATCAAGGGTGACTTACCGAGAAAGCAAGGAAGCAAACACGGTTAAAAAGGCTATAGATGTAACTCACCATGTCTCAAATACAGGTGAAGGGTATTTAACAACTTAGACTATATTTGCCCTTGAGGGCACCACCCATTAGTAAGACAGAGTTTTTGTCTTTGGCATAGTTCGCAGGTCCATGGGTGGAGGAGACCTAGCAGTGTGGTCACTACACTTGATCTTAGCCAAAAGGCCTGATTTAGAATTCTTGAATACTTTTTGATCAGTGAACAGAGGCAGGGTGCCATGAATAACTGTTCCTGCTTCTGGTATAACAAGTTCTGATGGTCGGTATTGGTGGATAATCCAAGAGCCAAAACAGTTTTGCCTAAACTTTTGCTATTGGTCATTCACATTGGATTGGGTGCAAAGAGATCATTTTAAATACACGTTATTTTAGAGTCAGATCTTCCACCTACACCCATATATGTCATTCACATTGGATTGGGTGCAAAGAGGTCATTTTAAATACACGTTATTTTAGGGTCAGATCTTCCCCCTACACCCATATATACTAACTGAGAATTGGGTTCTTTATTATGATGTTTTGAGAGAAAACATTTCAGTTGGCCGAGTAAAATATAAAGATAGAATTCTGCTCATAATCTCCATAGTAAATCTCCAATCTGGCACTCTGCTCTCCTGATTTATGCAGAATTCCTGTTAATGACACAATCTGCAATGTATTTCAGTGCTCCCTTTCTAATATGACTGTCCTGTGGGGAGAAAGGCCCATCATACAACTCCTGTGATCATTCACAGTTCTGATGCCTGAATCAAAAGGACTCAAAGCAGCTTTTTAAACATGTAAAACTTGGGGAAGGTGAAGTTTGAAATCACAGTTGAAATATCTTGTTTGTTTGAAGGATTTTTCAATTTTTCAATCAATGATGCACGGTACAAACACAATTTGAAGCAAATAGGAAAGGGCCTGATCTACTCTTGATCCTCTCACACACTGTGGAAACTTCAGTGAGAATTGTGTGCGTCTCCCAAGACAATACGTAACCTTTAACATGTAACCTTTAACAGTTCAGTGACATGAGGCTTACATTGTCTAATTATAGTCAACTCTACTAAAATGACCCCCGTTTGCTAACAGTTGCCACACAGTTTGTACCTGTGATACGTAATCCAACAGCCTGTTTTAAGAATAAGCAAAGTAGTGTGGTATCTAGTATGATTTTTATGGTGAGTGCAGAAAAAGAATGTGGTGAACACTGTACTGAGAAATAAAAAAGTGTTTCAACAGCCTGTTTTAAGAATAAGCAAAGTAGTGTGGTATCTGGTATGATTTTTATGGTGAGTGTGGAAAAAGAATGTGGTGAACACTGTAATGAGAAATAAAAAAGTGTTCGTTCAAAGGTCTTGATGCATTGTGCCTTTAATAAAGCAGTGATAAAAACAGTCTATTCTTTCTATTGCACAAGCATCCATTGTGGAGTAATTCTTATACAGGTGTTGTTTCTATGTCTCCGGCTATTTTCGTAGCTTGTATTGTTTCTTTTCTTTCATCCTTCCAGTGTAGCACATCAGCTTTTGATTTCAGTCACAGTGGCAACAAAATTAGAGCTTCTTTCTGAAGTACACGAAATAAATGAATAGTCCTGTAGCACCTTTGAGACTAACGTGTGTGTGTGTGTGTGTGTGTGTCTGTCTGTCTGTCTGTCTGTCTGTCTGTCTGTCTGTCTGTCTGTCTGTCTGTCATCATGAGCTTTCCTGGGCAAAACTTACTACTTCAGATGAACATGGTTTTGCTTATGCAAGCTCATGATACTATATATAATATATATTTTTCTTGGTCTCTAAGCCCTTGTCTACACTAGGGAGTTATTTCAAAATAAATCCGTCCCCTCCCCCATTTTGAAATAATAAGCAAAGCATCCACACTACTAAGTCCGTTATTTCGAAATAACAGACTGGTTACTTTGAAAGCTGTACCCCAGCTTTCTTTGGGGAATAACACTTATTTAAAAATACATATTTTGAAATATCAATAGTGTGGATGCGCTGCTGCTGCTGCTATTTTGAAATAATTACTCCCCTGAGTAATTTGAAGTAATTACTCCGCAGTGCTTCCTAGGGCTCTAAGTCAAGGTAGTGCATCCACAATAACAGCCTGCGTCAAACTAATTTTTGAGGCTCGCCTGTAATGAGGACACATTATTTCAATTTTTTTGTTCCGGGAGTTAATACTTCAAATTTAGTTATTTCGAAATAATTTCCTGGTGTAGACATGCCCTAGCTACTACAAGATTGCTCATTGTTTCTTTAAAGTTACAGACTAACACAGTTATACCTGTGAAGTACATGAAGTCAGTCCTGTTTTGCACTCATGTGGGTGAACTTAGAATTGGTCTTGATGTGAATTTGTAAGGAGGCTGGCACTTCAATGCTCACAGTGTGTGACTGTGTATCGTTTTCATGTACTGTTCTATTTCTCTCACTTTATTAGTGTGGCACAGATAGAGGTTTTATTTATATCTACAGAAAAGTAACCTGGGGAACAATGGGATAACTGGGAAAGGGAATGAGCAGGAGGCGTACTTTTATGTAATATGGAATTGAATAGCTAGATAACTTGTGTTACAACAAAGCATTTTACACAAAAATACTTGCAATACCATTCTTTTGTTGTGACTAAATACACTGATGCAAATTTTTGACAACTTCCAGTAGTTTTGCTAAAAGGGGGATAATAGAATGCAGAGCAAGTATTAATTTTTCCAATACCCCATTTTAAATTTGACCTCAGCAGCATGCTATGTGAAGCCACTTGCCTCCCCATTGAAAATGCAGACTTCAGCATTGTTTATTACATTTGTGCTCCAAGGCGAAAGTATGTCAGGACAACTCACCCCTGAATCAGGCTTCCAAATGTTTCTAGCGACAAAAGCTGTGTGAACCCTGCAGGACTCAGTTTGCTTGGGGTTGTCTAGCTAAATCCTCAGCTTTGAATGGTAGGGGCATGCAGCAAAACAACCCCTGTAGGCTTGCGTGGAGCATTGGGTTCAATAAACTCAATATGTCCCATCACCTCCATTGCCCTCACCGTTTCTCTTTTCATCTCATACCCCTGGCTTTTTGGGGCCAGTATAGACGTAGCCAATATGTCCCATCACCTTCATTGCCCTCACTGTTTCTCTTTTCATCTCATACCCCTGGTTTTTTGTGTGTGTCAGTTGATCACTTGCTTTGCTTAAAGTAGCCCAAGAAAGGAGTTCCAAGCCATTCAGAACATGTCTTTCCGCTGGTCTGTAAAGGCTCTTTTGTGGGACAGGAATGTCTTCCACCCCATTGGATGGCATGGAGTCATAAGCCTGCTTCTTCTACCACAGATGCCAGCCACTGAGCTGGAACTGAAGGCAGCCCTGTATTTCCTTAATGGTCTCCCAGGGCGCAGTTGTTTGGAAATTCCTAGAGTTCCCTGTCTAATGCAGTAGGCATGATGGGGTTTCTGTCAGCCTCAGCTCAGCACAAGTGAGGTTGGCAGCAGCACGCTTGAACAGCTAATAGTTAGCTTGAACTAGAGGGCTCTAAATTCGATGTGATTTCTGCCCAGTGAACATGATGGCTCTAAATTCCTGACTTCATGTGTTCTCCCTTGACCACAGGCGTAGCATTTTGGGATTCCATTTCTATATTGCCCCTTTATGAACACTTAACACATTGCCTAGGCTGAATTTTGCCCTTCATTACATTTGCGAAGCATTATTAGATTTCCTCACGAGGCTGCCCAGCTATAAATAATTTGAATGGCAGTATTTTTGTTCTGATGATGATGCATGAGGACACAATCTTGATAAGTTTTTAGCATTGAGAGTTTAGATGAAAAGAACAACCTCTCTCTTTATACGCCACTCCCCAACTGCAATTGGAGCACATTTCAATATGGTTATTGTGATATAGTAAATATGCCACAATTCCATATATTCCTTTTTTTTTTGTTCTCCCTTGACCACAGGCGTAGCATTTTGGGATTCCATTTCTATATTGCCCCTTTATGAACACTTAACACATTGCCTAGGCTGAATTTTGCCCTTCATTACATTTGCGAAGCATTATTAGATTTCCTCACGAGGCTGCCCAGCTATAAATAATTTGAATGGCAGTATTTTTGTTCTGATGATGATGCATGAGGACACAATCTTGATAAGTTTTTAGCATTGAGAGTTTAGATGAAAAGAACAACCTCTCTCTTTATACCCCACTCCCCAACGGCAATTGGAGCACATTTTAATATGGTTATTGTGATACAGTAAATATGCCACATTTCCATATATTCCTTTTTTTTAAACCCTCTATTTTAATACAGATTGATGATGTTAAATTCATGGCCATTCCACCATTTGATGTTTGTAAAGGTGGCTGTGACTGATTTTAATTTTGCTCCAGGTACAAAACTCTTGGGGCTGGTTAGATCTGGGACCCTAAATCAGAAGCTGCCCATTGGGCTCTCTCCGTGCAAAAAAGTAGATGATGGAGGGATATTTGTTCTGACCCATCTCTGATCCTCAGGAGTGTTGCACATTCCTAACAAATTAATTATTAGATAGCAGGAAATACTACATAAGGGTGTCACTTTTCATGACAATCTGCACTTATACTTCACTTATACAGTTCTGATTTGATGCTTGTAAAGGTGGCTGAGACAGTAGCGGCTCATTCTGTATGTGAGTGTTCTTGTTTCATGTGGCTTTCTCTTCTCCCCACAGTTTGCCAAGGAACAAGTAACAAGTTGACCCTGCTAGGGAGCGTTGAGGGCCATTTCGCCAGCCTGCAAAGGATGTATAACAACTGTGAGGTGGTGCTTGGCAATCTGGAGATCACATATGTGGCACGTGATTACGATCTTTCATTCCTGAAGGTTAGTATAGCTAATCACATTGCTCTGATCCAGCATACAACATACATTAGTGAAATCCACAGAACTATAGCTAATCACATTGCTCTGATCCAGCACACAACATACATTAGTGAAATCCACTGGACCTCAAGAGAGTTTACCTCCAAATTGAGAGAGTTTTCTAGTATGTTGAATGGTTTTCGAAGGCGATGGGTCAAATATGTATAAAACATCTGGTGGCAGATGTAAACACTCTTCAAATACATGGTTACTGATTGTCAATCAGAGACATGGCAGATTAGAATTCTAAAATATCTGTCTAGCCTAGGATACTCTATACTTTTATCAATAATTTTACAGCTCCCATCAAGCAGTCTCTTTATGCTCATCACCCACCACTCAAAAGTAATTATTTTAAATAGGAAAAGTATTGCGCTCCTATTCTCCTACTTCTCTCTCCCCACCCTCACGCCCCCATGCTCCTAGGAAAAATAGAAAAACAAACTGTGATGCTGTTATTTTTGGTGCGTCTAAACTACATCCCTCTTTCGAAAGAGGGATGTAAATTAGACATATCGAAATTGCAAATAAAGCCAGGATTTGAATTTCCCATGCTTCATTTGCATAATTACGTCATGGCGGTTTTTTGAAAAACACTATTTCGAAAGTGAAACGGTGGGCTAGATGTAGGTTTTTTTGAAAAACACTATTTTGAAAGTGAAACGGTGGGCTAGATGCAGGTCTTTCGAAAAGAAAAGCCTGTTTTATCAATAATTTTACAGCTCCCATCAAGCAGTCTCTTTATGCTCATCACCCACCACTCAAAAGTAATTATTTTAAATAGGAAAAGTATTGCGCTCCTATTCTCCTACTTCTCTCTCCCCACCCTCACGCCCCCATGCTCCTAGGAAAAATAGAAAAACAAACTGTGATGCTGTTATTTTTGGTGCGTCTAAACTACATCCCTCTTTCGAAAGAGGGATGTACTCCAGACATAGCCTTTCAGGGAAAAACCACCAACGTTGCAGTTTGCTTGACTGGTCTGACAACCCTCTAATTTGGTTATCTTCAGGGTGCAGAGCAGATCTTTTTCCATTTTTCATAGGAGCATTCTACTGCCATGGTGATACCTGGCAAAAGATGTTGTCTCCCTTATGCTTAGAAACCAAGACATGTTAATATCTCCATTCATCAGTACTTGTCCGATATGTTCCTGCACCAAGCAAGCCTGCTGTGTTCTGGACAGTAATTTTGTGTGATCTTCAAAGGTAATCCTAGACAGTAGTGCATGAAATTGTACTTCTCTCATGCCCATCTCTATGCAAGTGTAGGGAGGACATTTAAAAGAGGGACATACATAGTTTACTGGATGTATTGAGAAAAGAACTTTCTGGCATATTGCAGAATGCTGTCCCAGGTAGCACAGGAAGGGTGTGGAACAGGTGGGAGTAGAATTCAGCTCTTCTGACTACTGGTTTGACGCCTTACACGCTAAATAAGCAATTCTCGCATTGAGAGTTGTGACTAAGGAGATGTTAAATATCAGTTAATTTACTAGTTGAGTAGTCGATGGCATTTCCATCGACTACTTGACTAGTTGATAGGCACTTCTGCATTCCTCCTTTGAAACATACAAGAATCCCATCAGGAATGCGGAACTCCGCGTGCAGCCCAGGGCCAGTGGAAAGTCCTGCTGAGTCCAAGTTGCATGCAGCTTTGAAGTGTACAAGAGTCCACAGCGACTTCTGCGCGGCATTTCCCCAGAACCCGGGGTCAGCTGGGGACTCCCAGTCTCTAGCTGACCCCGGACTCCATGCAAAGCAGTGCCACACAGCTGATCCTGAGTAGTCTCTAGCTGACCCCGGACTCCATGCCAGGCAGTGCCACACAGCTGATCCCGAGTTCAGCTGTGCCACACTGCTTCTTTGAAGTACCTCCCTTTCCCCAGTGGGGGGGAGGAGATCGACTGCTCAACTGACTATCCAATAAGCAATGTTTATCGAATAGTCAACTAGTCTTTAACATCCCCAGTTCTGACCAGGGTTCCGTGTAATAGTTTCCAGCCATGAGCACAGTGAGTTTTGGCTTGTGCAACAGCATTAAGGTTCATGTGCTCTGGTTTGGACGTGTGCCGCTGTGACACCCAATTTATTATTACACACACTTTCCCAGCTGCCAGAGCAGAAACACTGCCCCTTCTTCTGCTCACCATGCAGCATGTCCCATTCCCAGCCACCAGAGCAGGCAGACACATCCCACCATGCTGCAGGTCCCGTTCCCACTGGAGCATACCCTGACCCAGCCATGCGGTATGTCCCATTCCTGGCCCCAACTGCTAGAACACCCCCTAACCCTGGCCACTGGAGCAGGCTTTCCTCCCATCATGTGGTTGCAGCAGGTCCTGGCCCCCAACTCCAGTGGCTCCCTCATCATGCT